TTTGGTCCCTTAACAAGTGGGAGGCACATATGCAAACTGTTGTAATTCCTACACCGTTCACCTGATTTGGATGTAAATACCCTCAAATTAAAGCTGACAGTCTGCAGTTAAAGCACATCTTGTTCGTTTCATTTCAAATCCATTGTGGTGGTGTATAGTGCCAAAAACGTTAGAATTGTGTCCATGTCCCAATATTTATGGACCTGACTGTATGTGTTTGGTTTTAAAGGGATGAGGTGGCAACCCTAGTCTGCTGCAGGCACAAGGAAGCATTTCCTCAGTCCCCCCCCCCCAGTAATCAGGCTGGTATCTCAGTCCGGGAACTAGATGGCTACCCTGGGTGATGCCTGAACAAAGATGGCGCTGTCCTTCTGGAGAGAAACATTGAATAGTAGATTTTCTGGTGATCTGGAATGGATTGTGTTTATTTACGATGAGTAGCATGTGATCGCATTCCTTAGCGCTGGGTGTGGCGCGTTATAAAGTGTTATTCAGGTAATCAGAGAGATAACTATAGCACATACCATAGTTTTAATGTAACCAGTCACCCTCCCCCGCTCCTATAATCTGAGGTTGGTTGTGACACTCCCTGAGTTACTCACACTCCCAATATCCCCATTAGATAATGAGGGAACATACTCAGCGCTTTCGTATCAGCCGTCTGTATGTGGAGTCTGCTGGGGGGGCCATGAACCCAAAACACCGATCCAGAGATAAAATCATCTCATCCATAAGGACAGAGATTGCAAGATGTTTCTAAAGCTGACCATACACAGTTATGCCGGCCATATTTTTTGGTGAAAAAAAAAATCGGCCGTTTTTCGCACCGTTAGTGGGTTAATTGGTCGGCCGTTTTTTCAGGCTTTTTGCACATTTTTTTATCGGGCATGTTGGAAAATTCACTGCCGGTTTTGACGATCGGCCGATTTTCCCGGCAATGATGGGCAAATTGACCAATCGTTTTACCGATAAAAAATCTACGCATGAGCCGTGACCTGCAAGAAGAAGAAAAAAGAAGAAGAAAAATTCCAGTCCACTATTATATTTTATATGAAAAAGTCTTGCGGTTGCAACAATGTATCCATTTGTATCCGAATAAAACCATCTGTATCCGAAATGGATACAAATGGATACATTGTTGCAACCGCAAGACTTTTTCATATAAAATATAATAGTGGACTGGAATTCTTCTTCTTTTTCTTCTTCTTTTTCTTCTTTTCTTCTTTTTTTTCTTCTTTTCTCCTCCTTTCTTCTTCTTCTTTTCTTCTTCTTCTTCCTTCTTCTCCATCAGAGCCTCCTTTCATCAGTGTCCCCCTTAGGATTGCCCTTACACCAGGGTCAGAGTCCCTCTTTATATCAGGGTCCTTTTTAGAATCCCCTTTCATCGGGGTCCTGATTAGAGTCCCCTTTTACATCAGGGTCTCCATCAGAGCCCCCTTTACATCAGGGTCTCCATCAGAGCCCCCTTTACATCAGGGTCTCCATCAGAGCCCCCGCTACATCAGGGTGCCATCAATGCCCCCGCTACATCAGGGTCCCCATCAGACTACCATTTACATCAAGGTCCCCATCAGAGCCCCGTCTACATCAAGGCTCCCATCAATGCCCCCTTTACATCAGGGTCCCCATCAGACTACCATTTACATCAAGGTTCCCATCAGAGTCCCCTTTACATCAGGGTCCCATCAGAGCCCCCTCTACATCAAGGTCCCCATCAAACTGCCCTTTACATCAAGGTTCCCATCAGAGCCCCCTTTACATCAGGGTGCCATCAGAGCCCCCTCTGCATCAGGGTCCCCATCAGACTACCATTTACATCAAGGTCCCCATCAGAGTCCCATCAGAGCCCCCTGTACATCAGGGTCCCCATCAGACTACCCTTACATCAAGGTTCCCATCAGCGCCCTTTTATATCAGAGCCCATATTGGGAGTCCCCCCTTACATCGGGTCCCCAAATATAGCCATCACTTTGCAGAGCCATTATTTATGATCTGCAGAGCCAGTAAAGCCAGATCTTGCACTGATGAGATCCTAAGAACCCTGAAACAGCTGAATCCAGTTGGCAATACTCCATATCTGTTCTATACACTAGCTTTTCTGGCTAAAGAGGGGAAAAATATATCCATGACTCTGCCTGCTTACCCAAAGAGATACAATGTTGCGTGTTATTATTAGGCTTTACATACCATTTAAAGGGCAGTGACAGAAAAGCTTGCTTTGAAGTGGAGTGACCCTTTAAGTTCCTTTATAAAGCATGCCAGGGCTTGTAGCTGCCATCTTTGTGTATAAACACGCATGCCACATTCAGAACACGGACGTCACTTCTCCATGCGATGGGTCAAGGTCATTCATCATTCTTTCCTCTCTATGGGGGTTGCCATGGGCTCTGCGTTACTCTGACTCGGGTATGTTGTGTGTTGCAGGCAAACCTCCAGCATTCCGCTCATCCCTCTGGGCCTCAAAGAGACAAAAGACGTCGATTTCACCACGCCGTTCAAGGTAAGAGAAAATACTTCGAATTGTTGTTGGTGAGATGTTTGCTTTGGGGTGCAAATGACACAAGACACCCGTCTACCAGATACAGGACGTACGGGTACAAGATGTGCTGTGGGGAAATCTGTTATCAAGGGCGTGACTAGCACCCAGCACATGGAGGACAAACCCAAAACTATTCTTTTTTTGTAGTCACCTTAAAGTGTAAACTTTGTATGAGGTCTGGATAGAGTCGAGAGATTTCCCTTCATTTCCTGTCCCAGAGGCACAGCAGAAGATCTCTCCAAACCATGGGGAAAATCTCCTCTTAGACAGGACAGATGTCCCCGTTGGGATAGTTATGCTTACCTCCTGTTCTGGTGACAACATTGCCTGGAACAACAGTGAGAGTGAATACCCCCCCCCCCCCCCACACACACACACTGGGGGGCATAGACAGAAATATAAGTCCTAAAAGAGATTCTAACCCTTTAGTGCTCAACCTAGGTCTGCAGTCTCTGACCATCTCCTGTAGTAAGTCTGCAGTCTCTGGCCATCTCCTGTAGTAAGTCTGCAGTCTCTGACCATCCCCTGTAGTAAGTCTGCAGTCTCTGACCATCCCCTGTAGTAAGTCTGCAGTCTCTGACCATCTCCTGTAGTAAGTCTGCAGTCTCTGACCATCTCCTGTAGTATGTCTGCAGTCTCTGACCATCTCCTCTAGTAAATCTGCAGTCTCTGACCTTCTCCTGTAGTATTTCTGCAGTCTCTGGCCATCTCCTGTAGTATGTCTGCAGTCTCTGACCATCTCCTGTAGTATGTCCGCAGTCTCTGACCATCTCCTGTAGTATGTCTGCAGTCTCTGGCCATCTCCTGTAGTATGTCCGCAGTCTCTGGCCATCTCTATGTCTGCAGTCCTGGCCATCTCCTGTAGTATGTCCGCAGTCTCTGGCCATCTCCTGTAGTATGTCCGCAGTCTCTGACCATCTCCTGTAGTAAGTCTTCAGTCTCTGACCATCTCCTGTAGTATGTTTGCAGTCTCTGACCATCTCCTGTAGTATGTCCGCAGTCTCTGACCATCTCCTGTAGTATGTCCGCAGTCTCTGACCATCTCCTGTAGTAAGTCTGTAGGCTCCATCCCCTGTAGTATGTCTGCAGTCTCTGACAGTTTTCTGTAACATTACATCCACTAAATATTATGTGTGGCCCTTTGGTGACATTGGGGGCCACACATGAAGCCCACCACATCAGTTAAATTGACCATCACTGATCTACAACCTATCTCCTGTATAACATTCCGGTAAAGTTTCTGTTGCTCCACAGGGACAATTCATTCTTGGTCCGATAGTTATATCAATCCCATCAGCAGAAATGACAATGAAAGGTTTCACAAGAATAGGATCTAATTTTAGACAGCGGAGTGAGATCTAAATTTAGAAAGGAAACGATTCGCCTTCTCACTAATTGAGCCGGTCGGAGTCATTAGGAGATGTCAGGGAGATGCAGTATCTGGATGTGAGTCACGCCGCTACTCCCTGGAGACCTGAAGTGTTGGAAGAAATTCCCCGTGCGGAGTTCTTCCCTGAACACCCCACCCAGCCGCTTCGTTATCAGACAAGAATTCTGCACTGAGAGATACGTTTATGGAAATGAATCCGGGATACGAGTGCAGACAAGTCAGGGCTACCGTCTCACAGAAACGTTAACATGTTCATCGTTTCAAAAGTTATTTTCAATCTTTTCAAATCTTTCAGTTAAATAATCCTTGGTGATCCTGCCATGATGGTCCTTGTTCAGGCACTTCCTGTTATAGGGTGACAACGCTCTGTACCTGTATCCTAATTGTGGACCTGTGTTGTCACCCTGTCACAAGAGCTTCTGATTGATACTACAAGTCACCTGGCTAATACCTCCTCCACTGACATTATTATTATTATACAGGATTTATATATTATTATTATTATACAGGATTTATATATTATTATTATACAGGATTTATATATTATTATTATACAGGATTTATATGTTATTATTATTATTATACAGGATTTATATATATTATTATTACAGGATTTATATATTTATTATTATTATACAGGATTTATATATTATTATTATACAGGATTTATATATTATTATTATTATACAGGATTTATTTATTATTATTATTATTATTATTATTATTATACAGGATTTATATAAGAGCTTATTATTATACAGGATTTATATATTATTATTATTATACAGGATTTATTTATTATTATTAATTATTATTATTATTATATACAGGATTTATATATTATTATTATATAGGATTTATATATTATTATTATACAGGATTTATATATTATTATTATTATACAGGATTATATATATTATTATTATAACAGGATTTATATATTATTATTATACAGGATTTATATATTATTATTATTATACAGGATTATTATTATTATTATACAGGATTTATATATTATTATTATATTATTATACAGGATTTATATATTATTATTATACAGGATTTATATTATTATTATTATTATACAGGATTTATATATTATTATTATACAGGATTTATATAGCACCAACAGTTTGCTCAGCACTTTACAATATAACGGGAGACAATACAGCAACAATACAGTTCAATACAAGAGGGATAGGAGGGCCCTGATCCTAGGAGCTTACAATCTAGGAGGGATGGTCCACTGTTGTCACTGTCAGGAAGGCGGTCTAGGTCTAAACCATGGGTCTCCAAACTTTGGAAATAAAGGGCCGGCTTACTGTTCTTCAAACTTTAGGGGAGCCGGGAAGTGGCCACTAGGAGTAGAAAGTGCCCTGGTATTAGTGGGAGTAAACAATGCCATCATCGGGAGTAAAAAAAATTACATCATTGGTGTCAGTGGGAAAATTAGTTCCCCATCCGTGGTGTCAGTGGGAGGAATAGTTTCTCCCATTGTTGGTGTCAGTGGGAGGAATAGTGCCCCATCATTGGTATCAGTGGGAGGAATAGTGCCCCATTGTTGGTGTCAGTGGAAGGAATAGTTCCCCCATTGTTGGTGTCAGTGGGAGGAATAGTGTCTCATTTTTGGTGTTAGTGGAAGGAATAGTTCCCCATTGTTGGTGTCAGTGGAAGGAATAGTTCCCCCATTGTTGGTGTCAGTGGGAGGAACAGTGCCTCATTTTTGGTGTCAGTGGAAGGAATAGTTCCCCCATTGTTGGTGTCAGTGGAAGGAATAGTTCCCCATTGTTGGTGTCAGTGGAAGGAAAAGTTCCCCCATTGTTGGTGTCAGTGGGAGGAATGGTTCCCCCATTGTTGGTGTCAGTGGGAGGAATAGTTCCCCCATTGTTGGTGTCAGTGGGAGGAATAGTTTCCCCATTGTTGGGGTCAGTGGGAGGAATAGTTCCCCATTGTTGGTGTCAGTGGAAGGAATAGTGCATTGTATCAGAGGAAGGATTAGTGTCCCAAGGGCCGTATAAAGGCAAGCAAAAGGCCACATCCAGCCCGCGGGCCACAGTTTGGGGACCTCTGGTCTAAACCCATTCACTAAAATCTTATAGAAGCTTTAACATTAATGTCACTTCAAAAGTTATTTTCAGTCTCTTTAAATATGCTACTTTCAGTACACCAATCCCTGGTGATCCTGCCATGAAGGTACTTCCTGTCATAGGGTGGCAACATTCTGTATTTGTCTCTTAATTCATCCTTGGTGATCCTGCCATGAAGGTCCTTGTTCAGGCGCGCTTCTTGTTCCAGGGTGACAACTCTCTGCACCTGTCTCCTAATTGTACGCCTGTGTTGTCATCCTGTGACATGAGCTTCTAATGGGGACTACAAGTAGCTGTGCTCACACTCATTTCCCAGGCATGGTCCACCGTTGTCACAATCAGGAACTCGGTCCAGACCCCTAAAATCTCATATAAGCTTTAACATGTCAGTTTCATTACAACAGTTATTTTCAATCTTTTTCTACATATTCAACTTTTATCAAAATAGTCCCTGGTGATACTACCATGGAGGTCCTTGTGCATGCACTTCCTGTTATAGGGTGACAACGCTCTGTCCCTGCCTTCCAATTGTGCTCATGTGTTGTCACCCTGCCTCATGGGATTCTGATGGAGACTACAAGTGTCTGTGCTGACACATGTTCCCCAGGCATGGTCCTTTCTACATGTTCAGGTATGCAGGGTATGTGGCACAGTGGCTGAGTGTTTAGCATTTCTGTCTGGCAGAGCTAGAGACATTGGTTTGAATCCCAACCATGGCACCACCTGCCTGGAATTTGCATGTTCTCCCTGTGCCTGTGCAGTGTTGTATTTAGGTTTTGTGCTGCCCTAGGCAACACAAAAATCATCTACCCCCACAGACACCGACCAACACAACCCCCCTTCCCCCTCCCGCGGAGAGAGCCTGACATTAACCAACAACACCCCTGCCTCCCACCCGGGAGAGCCCTCCACCACCAATCCCCCTTCCCAGTGACAGAGAGACGCCCATCCTCACAGCTCTGGACATCCCGGGGACTGAGAGTCAGGCTCTACATACACCATGAAGCAGGATCCCACACCTGGTTCCCGTGGTGTGTGTGTCCCTTCTTTCATTCCTTCCTCTGGGGGGAAGTGCTGCCCCCCCCCAAAAAAATGCCGCCCTAGTCAAGTGCCTTGTTTGCCTTATGGTAAATTTGACCCTGTGCCTGCGTGGGTTTCCTCCAGGTACTCCAGTTTCCTCCCACACTCCAAAGACATGCTGGTAGGTGAATTGGCTCCTGTCTAAATTGGCCCTAGTATGTGTATGTATGAATATGGCAGCACAGTGGCTAAATGGTTAGCTTTTGGGTATTATAGCACTTTAACTCCTATGGGCAATGGGCAGCACATGGACATGCACATGGGCTCAAAATGTTTGTTGGACCTTCATCAGAACCTATGAAAATAAGCGATCTCCAAACCGTGGCCAACCCAGGCGATCGATCTGACCAAGAAGGAAATCGCAGTTTCCATTTGGACTTCTTCTTTCCCTCACCTGGCTGGCT